CCCTCTCTGTGTCTTAAAAATAAATGAACATTAAAATTTTTTCCAAAAATATTCTGTCTCTTTCTCCTTCTGCCCCTCTCCTAGCTCGTGTGCTCTCTCTCTCTCTCTCTCTTAAAAAAAGAAAAAAAAGGAATAACACCCAAATCACAGGAGTCCCATAATATGAAGAGGAAAAAAAAGGGTCAGAAGATTTATGTGAGCAAATTATAGCAGAAAACTTTCCTAATCTGAGGAAAGACACAGATGTCAAAATCCAAGAAGCACAGAGAACTCCCTTTAGATTCAACAAAAACTGACCATCACCAAGGCATATCATATTCAAAGTCACAAAATATACAGACAAGGAAAGAATTATTAAAGCAGAAAGGGGGAAAGTCCTTAGCTTATAAGGGGAGACAGATCAGGTTCACAACAGACTTATCCACAGAAACTTGGCAGGCCAGAAAGGACTGGCAGGATATATTCAATGTGATGAACTGGAAAAATATGCAGCCAAGAAGTCTTTATCCAACAAGGGTTGTCATTCAGAATAGAAGGAAAGATAAAGTATTTCCCAGACAAACAAAAACTAAAGGAGTTTGTGACCACTAAACCAGCCCTGCAAGAAATTTTAAGAAGAACTTGTTGAGTGGAGAAAAGACGAAACAAAACAAAAAAGACCAAAAGCAACAAAGACTAGAAAGAACCAGAGATCATCTCCAGAAACTCCGGCTCTACAAGCAACACATTGACACTAAATTCATATCTTTCAGTACTCACTCTAAATGTCAATGGACTAAAGGCTCCAGTCATAAGACATAGGGTATCAGAATGGATAATAAAACAATCCATCTATACGTTGTTTATAAGACACCATTTTAGACTTAAAGTCACCTTCAGATCGAAAACAAGGGGATGGAGAATCATTTATCATGCTAGTGGTCACCAAAATAAAGCTGGAGTAGCCATACTTATACCAGACAATTTAGATCTTAAAATAAAGACTGTAACAAGAGGGGCACCTGGGTGGCTCAGTCAGTTAAGCATCTGGCTTCTGCTCAGGTGATGACCTCGCAGTTCATAGGTTTGAGCCCCGTGTTGGATTCTGTGCTGACAACTCAGAGCCTGGAGCCTGTTTCAGATTCTGTGTCTCCCTCACTTTCTGCCCCTCCCCCACTCATCCTCTGTCTCTCTCTGTCTCAAAAATAAATAAACTGTAAAAAAAGAAAAACAAACAAAAACAATTTTTTAAAAAGGCTGTAACAAGAGATGAAGAAGGGCATTATATTATAATTAAGGGGTTTATCCACCAAGAAGATCTAACAGTTGTAAACATTTATGCTCTAAACATGAAAGCACCTGATATATAGATCAATTAGTCACAAACATAAAGAAATTCATTGATAATAATACCATAATAGTAGGGGACTCCAACACCCCGCTTATAGCAATGGACAGATCATCTAAACAGAAAATCAGCAAGAAAACAATGGCGTTGAATGGCACACTGGGCCAGATGGACTTAGCAGATATATTTAGAACATTTCATCCTAAAGCAGGGGTCACACATTCTTCTCAAGTGCACACGGAACACTCTCCAGAACAGGTTACATACTGGGACCCAAATCAGCCTCAACAAGTACAAAAAGATCAAGATCATACCTTGCATATTTTCAGACCACAAAGCTATGAAACTCGAAATCAACCACAAGAAAAAATTTGGAAAGACAATGAATACCTGGAGATTAAAGAACCTCCTACTAAAGAATGAATGGGTGAACCAAGAAATTAAAGAGGAAATTTCAAAGTCCACGGAAGCCAATGAAAAGGAAATCCCCTGGGATGGAGCACAGGCGGTCCTAAGAAGGAAGTACATAGCAATACCGGCCTTCCTGGAGAAGGAGGAAAGGTCTCAGAGATGCACAATCTAACCTTAGGGATGATGTTGACAGAAGATGTGTAAGAGCTGTCTGCTCTGAAGGCTACAAAACATCGCTGAAATGCATTTCTAAGGGCATCAGCGGATGGAGAGGTATGCCGTTCTCATGTATGGGCAGACTTAATACTAAGATGTGGGGGTGCCTGGGGGACTCAGTCAGTCGGGTGTCCAACTTCGATTCAGGTCATGATCTCAAGGCTTGTGAATTCAAGCCCCGCATCGGACTCTCTGCTGTTAGCACAGAGCCTGCTTTGGATCCCCCGTCCTCCCCTCTCTTTCTGCCCCTCCCCAATTTGTGCGCAATTTGTGTCTCTCTCAAAAATAAACATTAAAAAATAATAAGTTGTAAATTCTCCTTGAACTGATTTGTGGATTAGGTGCTGTCCCAGCCCATAACCCAAGGGCATAGTTCATGAAGACTTAGGAGACTAACTCTGAAATGTATATGGAAATGCAAAGGATCTAAAATCGCTAAGACCATTTTGAAACGAAGTCAAAAGTCACGCGACCCGACTTTAGGGCTTAATATACTCACAACCATGTGGTGATGTTGTCAAGACAGACATACGGACTGATGGACAGGGTTGCACTCAGAACAGACCCTATGTGTATGGTCAGTTGACTTTACACAAAGGTACTAAATGGTATCAATGGAGAGAGGATAACAGTTTTGACCGCTGAGGCCAGACATGAGCAGGCTTGAACTTCAGCCCGGGCGTCACACTGCGGTGAAGATGAGAGCGCGGTGGGTCACGGTCTGAGAGCTACACCAGAGGAAATCTTAGGGACTTTGGCTATGGGCAGGCATTTCTTAAAAAACACAGACTGCGAGAAGAAATTGGTAAACTGGCTTCATCAAAAACTAAAATGTTTGCTCTTTACAAAACAATGTTATAAAATGAAAAGACAAGCCAGATTGGGCTGGCGCGCGTGTGGAGCAGCCGGAGCCTTCTTCCACTGCCGGTGGGAATGTGGCCGATTGCCCTCTTTGGAGGGCAGTTTGGGGTCCCCTTTAACAGAAGCACCCCTCCATCACCTGCCCCGCGGATTCCACTCCTGAGGTGTATCCAAGTGAGGTGTGAGCGTCTGTCCACGCAAAGACCTGACACGATTGCCCACAGCGACATTCCTCTTGAGGCTCAGGCGTGGGAGCCTCCCAGGTGCGCATCAGCAGGTGCGTGGGTGGAAGGGCCACGGGTGGATGTGGCCGTTCAGCGCAGTCCTGTCAGCAGTAGGGGGAGCGCATGACTGCGGCCTCCGCGGCAGGGGTGTGACTCTGGATCCTGCTGAGGAAAGAAACCCGCAACGAAAGACCATGTGTTGTGAGATCCCATTTGATCCAGTTCTAGAAAGGGTGGGCTGACGTATGCGTGGCATTTCCAGGCTGGAGCAGCGGCGAATCGCTCTGTTACACACAGGAACAGAGCATGGGCAGAGCCCGCTGTGGTTGCTTGGGGTGGGGTGTGCGAGGAGGGGGAGGGGCATACAAAGGGGAGCAGGCAGCTTTGCGGGTGATGGGTGTGCTCGCTGTCTTGGTCGCGGTGATGATTTTGGGCACAGAGCGTGTGAATCTCATCACGGTGTCTCCTGTAGGTGTGTCCACTTTATCGAACTTCAGATATGCCTTGACCAAGCTGAGCAGAGACCGAGGATGTTAGATGGTGACAAAGCCGTGGGGTTGGGGGGGCTCCATGCGTGGGCCGCACGTGGGCAAACCTGGGGGCGTGGGTGCCTCGGATGGCAGCTCCTAATTTCGGTGGTGGAGACACAGACGCCGGCCACACGGGCACTGTCCCCCAGCAGGCCTGGGAAGTTGCTGCTATGGTCCCCAGGCCACGCGGGGCCCTGCTTCTGCTCCGGGCTGGGCCCCACATTTCTGCCGTCCCTCAGCCAAGCACCCTGTCCGGACCCCCGCCAGCCAGGGCTCCTTGATGGCACTTGGGTCAGGGCTCTGTCAGCCCACAGTGAAGCCTCAGAGGGTGGTGGCTGCCCGGGAGGGGGTGCAGGTCCCCGAAGCCTCTGGTCCTCCTAGGAGGGGGCAGGCTGCTTGCTTGGGCATCTGTGGGGTGCTGGGAACTCATAGGGACACAATGATTCCAATTGCCCAGATCCAGGCAGCAAACCTGGAACCCTGGCAGGGGGCCTAGAACTCGGGCAGGCAGCCTAGAACCCGAGAAGGGGGCCTAGAACCTGGGCAGGGGACCTAGAGCCCAGGAAGCAGGGCCTAGAGCCTGAGCAGCAGGGCCTAGAACCTGGGCAGGGGGCCTAGAACCTGGGCAGCAGGGCTTAGAACCCAGGCAGGGGGCCTAGAACACGGGCAGTGGGGCCTAGAACCTGGGGAGCAGGGCCTTGAACCTGAGTGGGGGGCCTAGAGGCTGAGCAGCAGGGCCTAGAACCCAGGCAGGGGGCCTAGAACCCAGGAAGGTGGCCTAGAATCTGGGCAGCAGGGCCTAGAACCCAGGCAAGGGGCCTAGAACATGGGAAGTGGAGTCTAGAACCCAGGCAGTGGTGTTTAGAACCCGGGCAGGTGGCCTAGAACCTGGGCAGCAGGGCCTAGAACCCAAACAGGGGACCTAGAACCTGGGAAGCAGGACCTAGAACCTGGGCAGGGGGCCTAGAACCTGGGCAGCAGGGCCTACAATCCGGGGATCTTGCCTAGAACCCAGGCAGCAGGGCCCAGAGCCAGGCAACAGGGCCAAGGTAAATTTACCTACCTTGGGGTGACAGCATCCAGGTGAGCTCAGCAGCCCCCTTTGCCAACGTCCTCAGGGTGGAGGTGGTGTGTGTGTGTGTGTGTGTGTGTGTGTGTGTGTCCTGACCATTTGGGTCGCAGGCCCTCTGCCCTGTGCTCCCACTCAGGCCTTTCCCAGGAGCTGCAGAGGGGTGCCCGGTGAGGGGTGCCCGGTGAGGGGTGCCCGGTGAAGGCGGCGTCTCCGCTGAGAGTGAGGAGTGACAGTGTTTCACGCATCCTGCATGAGGCCAAGGCTGGCCCCAGGTGACAGGCCCCAGGCCCTGGGGGCCTATGAGGCTGGATGGCCCCCTCCCTGCCCCCTGCACTCCTAAAATAGGAACACACAGCACACCCGTTTTCAATCATTTATTCCCATGCAGAGGTCCAAGTAGAAAAATAAATGGAAACCCAACAGAACGACTGTAAAATCAGAAGGGATCAGAACGCCTCTGGCTTCTGCCTTCCTGCTGCTCGGAGAGGTACGGCCTCCCGTGTGGGGGCGGGGGGTCCAGGCCATCAGCTCTCCCTGCTTGCAGGACACTCCGCGGCGGCCCCCAGCCCAGGGTGCCAGAACCTCCCGGTCACAGCGAGGGACGGGCTGCGGGATCCCTAAGTCGGGGAGAGGAAGGGAGGGGCCTGGAAGTGCCCGGGGCAGGGGATGGGCGCGTCACAGGCTGGGGGCTCCGATGAGGGCGAGGAGGGCGAGGAGGCCGAGGGCCAGCGCCAGGCCAAGGCCGGGACCGGCGAGCGGGCCGCGGGCGCCGTTCTGCAGGCTCCTGTTGCACAGGTCGCCCTGACAGCACAGGGTGGCCGTGGCGCCGCTGCTGACCTGGCCCGGGAGGCTGTGCGTGGGCGTGCACCACTCCACGCAGTCCTTCTCCACCAGGTTCCCCCGCAGCGGCTCCACTGCGGACAGAGGGGCTCAGTCGGGCTGGGCGGCCGCCTCTGACCCCCACCCCCGTGCATCTAGCCTCCACGGCACCCCAAGTCCCGGCTCCTGGCCCCTATCGCCCCCGCGACCCACCGACTATCACCGACATGCTCCCGCCAACCTCCCACCGATGCCCGCCCCCGACCCCTGGGGCACCCGAACAGAGCTCTGGGGGGCCCTTCAGGGCCCCCTTCCCTGGCTCTGCGCTCGCGGGTCCCTCACCCTTGGTCATGGTCCTGCAGTATTGCATGCCGGCCGCGCAGTTCTGAGGCTTCTCACAGTTGGTGGAGCTGGAGCACACGTGGCAGCGGAGAGCAAGGGCTGGGGGGCGGGAGGCACAGGGCTCAGTGTCTGGGCAGAGCCTTCTGCCCCCCCCCCCCCCCGCCCGTGCCAGGCCCCTCCTACGCCCAGGCCCTGCCAGGGCTCCTGTCCTGAACACAGCCTCTGGAGTCAGGAGACGACAGTCCTTGGCTGCCTGGACCCCGGCACCTCTCGTGCCAGAAGAGGGGCCTGTGCTGGTGAGCTGGAGAGCCAGTGGTACGGGGTACACTGGGGACCCTTCCCCGGGGGCATCCCAGAGCTCTGACACTTGCTAAGAGCAGCTCACAGGACGACTGCTGGCCCCTCCAGAGGCTGCCCCCCATGGGCAGCAATGGCCGTGAGGACCAGAGTCACGGCGCAGGGCTTCAGCCGGACCTCGCTGAGCCGGTGGGAGGAGGGGCTTCCCCGGGGACAGGGGCTGGATGACCCGGGCTTTGGTCTTTCCCCAGGGGAGGCATCTCAAGACCCCTCCCAGCCTCTCCCCCTCTGCGTTTCTGACCCCATGGGCTGATGCAAAGATTCTGCGATATTTGAAGTCTGATGCCACTAAGTTAAGATGTGGGTTCGTTTTGTTTGAAATCCTGAGTCCAGCATCCTGTCCAGGACTCTCTGAGCCCAGAGGTCAGTAACCCCAGGCTTCCAGGGGGCGTCCCGCAGACCCAAGCTGCCCCCCACCCTCGGCCCTTCCTGCCTCACCCACCTGGCCCAGCGGCTACAGCCAGCGCGACGAGGAGCAGCAGGACCCTCTTCATCTCGGGGTGTCTCTGGGAGCAGTGGGGGCCCCTCCTCTCCGGAGGCCTTATAGCTGGGGCAGGCGCCAGTGGGAGGGATCGAGATGGGCAGGCAGCCAGGCTGTGGCGTCCGCCCGCCCCACCCTGGCTGGCCCACACCCACCCGCCCAGCGAGGGCCTGCCTCTGCCACCTGGAGGGACCTCTGCCCCGGCTGCCAGCCCCCCAGGGCAGGGGGACCCCCCCCCACCTCCAGGCTAGGGACAGAGGCCCCAGCTGGCTCTGCAGCTCCCGGCCTCGTCTTCCTCCCTCTCTGTCCGTCCCTAGATCGCTTTGTCTCAGAGCTCCCACTTCCTCCCTTGTGTCCCCCACCCTCGGATGAGGTCAACAGGGTCACAAGCCTACGCAGGTGCCCTGTGGCTGCCCAGGGCTGTGCCCCGGGCGCTGGCCCTGCCTTCCTGCGCTCGGGGCTCAGGATCACCAGGTCTACCCATGGAGCCCGGGGGAAAGGACTCTCGGAAGCAAGGCATCGTGCTGAGATGTGAGGATCTCGGGGGTGAGGAGAGCAAGCGGCCGTCCCGGAGCGGGGTAGGCAGCAGGCGAAGCGCGCAGGGTGCTGGACGTGCCTGCGGAGGTGAGCCCTGGGCCAGGCGCGTCGGGGGAGGGCAGGGGCTGGCTCACCACCTGGGAGAAACTGAGGGCCCCTCAAGTCTCCACTAGCTCTTCCTCCCGCCCTCCCATCAGGGACGCTGCCCACCGTGCCCTGCGCCCCGCCCTCCCGGAGGAGCCCCACCCTTCATCCTGCTCCGGGACTGAGGCCCTGCGCCTCTTGCCCTGGTCCCCGAGGGCAAGGCCCGTGGGTGCCCCTAACTTCACCTCACAGTGCTCGCGGGGACGGGGGCCTTGGCCCCAAGCACAGGGGCTCGCCTCCCCCCCCCCCACCGCCTGCTGGCCCTGGGCCCCCGCTGCTGCTCTGCTGTGCCAGCCGACCCTGCCAGGTGGTGCGGGCCGGCCCTCCCGAGGCCTCACCCGGTCCCTGCCCTGGCAGGCCGTGCCCACTGTGCGGTGCGCAGGCTCCGAGCACGGACACAGATCGGCCTCTCCCCTGCCGCAGCCCCATCCCTGCAAGTACTGGAGGGCCCGCTGCGGGGAGGGTGGCCCGGGCTCCAGGGAGCGCAGGGGTCAGGGCCAGCCTCCAGCTCTGCGGGCTCAGGCTGGGGAGGTCTGGGACGCCTTGGCCCTTCTTCCCAGCACAGCCCTGGGCCTCCCCCCTCCCCTGACACGTGGGGTAAAGTCGGGGCTCCATCTGGGTGCCGGGGGTCCAAGGAGGTGTGCCTGCCACTGTGTGCTGTGCTCCCTAAAGAGGTCCCTGGACCTGGTGGGAACCGGCCAAGGGTGGGGGCTGGTGGGGCCTTCCTTCTGGGACCCCGGGGGGGGCGGAGGGGTGTGAGCGGGGGCCCCTGAGGCAGCCTCACATCAGCATCCTGAGCCTCTCCCACAGGCTGGGCCTTGTGTAGCACAGCCGGGGTCTCTCTTGACAAGGCAGGTGGTGTGGGGGCTCCAGGCCCACATCCAGACAGAGCAAGTCACCCCAGGATCAGGCCTTCCCGAATTCGGTCCACGGCCATTTGCGGGCAGGCGGATGCTCTCAGGGGAGGTGCCCCCGGGGCCTTGGGAAGCAGGACATAGGGCTCGGTGACAGGGTGGTGACTGGCAGGGGGTGGCAGATGGGAAGGGGTGACTCACTGAAGCCAAGGGGCATGGAAGCTACTGGAAAAACAAGTTTGGGGGATGGGTTTCCTGTAGGGCCCGGTAGAGCTACGGGGTCCAGGGCTGCCGGGCAGTCCCAGAGTGGAAGTTCAGACGTGAGGTCCCCAGGGCAGCAGGGTCCCCTCCCCTGGGGCTGCACAGGCCACCTCGGGCTTCACTGTGGCCATGTGCCCTGGAGGCAGGGACAGACACTTACGGAAGCAGACGTGGCAGCTGGGTCCTGGCCCCACAGGCAAAGTGGGCCTTTCCCACGGCAGGAGCTCCCTGAGACCTAGGAGTCTTTGGAAGTGCAGTTGGGGAGGGCTTCCTGCAGGTGGGGGCCTGATTACCCTGATCTTGGAGGCAGATTTCAAGAGAGAGAGGAGCCACCATGGCCCCTTAAGTTGGGCCCCTTCCAGCGTCCTTTTACTGGTGAGGAAATGAGGTCCCGAGAGGGCCCCACGGGCAGGTCACCCAGCAGTGACGTGACACCCGACATTTCCGTGCCTGTGGCCTTGCCTCCTGCCCTTCCTCATCCTCTGGAGAAAACGGCCGCTCTCCGGAACCCAAGCCCCCTCACCCAGGCCCTGGAGCCAGCGGGTCCCTGGGCCTGCAGGTGCCGCAGAAACATCGGCTAGAAGCGGTCATGGAGGGGCACGGCCGAGGGTGCTACCTCCCCCCACCCTCAGCCCTGCCTGCTTCCTGAGCTCGGCGGGCCAGGCCAGGCCAGCTGCCCCAGACCTCCGCCTGCGGTGTGCCCTCCCTGCCCCCGCCCTGCCCCCAGCCTGCCTTCCACCGCCCCTGCGTCTCAGCCTTGGGTGGGGGGAGGGACAGGAATCAAGGCCTAGCCTTCCAGGCTGGGGGGGGGGTCTCTGGGGTCACACAAAGGGTGTGAGTGGTCCAGAGAAGGAAGCGCCTGGCTCAGCGTGTCACAGGGGCCACCCCAGGCCTTCTGAAAGTGAAGCCAGCGGAGGCCGTCGGGCCCTGCCTTGGGCGGAAGGGGAGAATCAGTGTGGGCCAGCCGGGTTCCCCACTGGGTGCGTCCCCAAGCCTGGGGTGTGGGGACAAGGCTCCTTCAGTCACAGGTTGCATTACAGGGGGTGTGGGCGGCCACACGCAGGGGGACACTGCACATCTCCGCCACTCCCCATTAGCAGCGCCCACCACACACCCCACGCTCCGGGCACAGCGGGGACGGACAGGAGAGACAGGGCCAGCCCTCAGGACCCCTGGATGAGCCGGGGAGATGGGGCACAGGCAAGGGTACCCCATGTGAGTGGGCGACCAAGGAGGCCAAGAGATGGGGCTCCTGAGGACAGAGCAAAGACAAGGGGCAGGGCCTGGCTCTGGGCCCCCGGTGGCCCCTGGCACGCCATCGCCCTCTCCTGTCCCTCCCTCCCCAGCTGGGCTGAGGTGACTACCCCATGAGTCAGGCAGTGGAGGGATACAGTGTCTCCCTGCGGCCTTCGTCCCCCGTTCACACACACAGCGCCTCCCTCGGGTGACGCAGCGAGAGCCTGGCCCAGGACCACCCAGCCAGCAGGTGGCCGGCGGGAACCGGGCTGGGCCTGCCCTCCCCTCTGTCCCTCCCGGCCTGGGGCTCTTACCCCACGCCCCGGCCTCCCGACTCCTCCCTCATGTGCCGGAGACTCACCTGTACACACAGGGCCACAGGCCTAGACACGGGTCCCTCTCACCGGCTTCCCAGGGCCCGGCCTGCCCCACCTGCCCTGCGCCGTCCCCGGGACCATGGCCACCGGTGTGGGGCCTCCCTTTCCTGCTCTGCCAGAGTGGAAATCCAGGGAGCAGCCACACGGGCAGCCCTTCCCTGCCTTGGGGTGCAGCCTGTCCCCCGGGAATGGCTGGACTGGAGCCCTGGGCTCAGTTCTCAGGCCTGGCAGGCTGCGCCCCTGCGGGAGGCCCCGCCCCGGCTCCCAGGACCAGCGCCGGGCCCTCCAACAGAGGTCTGACGTGGGCCCTGCCCATCAGCATCTCCGGCTGTGTCCCTGAGAGGCACTGGGATTCAGGCGACCAGGTGATGGGGGGACGCTCTCCGAGCGGGGCGTGAGGACTTTGCCCTGCCCTGAGGGAGAGGAAGAAGGCCTGCAGACGAGCGGGAGCACCAAGCCGTGGAACCACAGCAACCCTGGCGACCTCGGAGCCCCCTGACTTCAGGCTCTCAGCAGCATGGGCTTGCAGAACACAGAGGCCCAGAATCACAGAGCCCGAAGCACCCGAGACCCAGGTGCCCTGGGGGGGTTCATTCTCTCCGTGTTAGGATAAGCTCCCTCTAGGGTTTGAGAAAAGGACAAATGTTCTCATGTTGCACCCCTAGGTTCTCCCTTCTGCTGTGCCACTACTCACTGCTCCTCCTGCCGTAGCCTGAGCTTGTGGCTCTAAACCCTTGAGCTCCATGATAGTGTGGGGTGTAAGTTCCACGGTGGGGAACACCTACCACCTACATAATCCACTCATCTGTTACTTATCCATCCATTAATCCATCCACCATCTAACCAGCCAGCCCTGTATCCATCCATTCATCCATTCATCTTCCTTCCATCCATCCATCCATCCATCCATCCATCCATCCACCCACCCATCCATCCTTCCTTCCATTCGTCCAACCATTTATCATCCATCTATTTATCCATCATTCACCCATGATCAATCCATCTACCCACTGTCCACACTCATCATCCATCCATCAATTTATTATCCATCCATTTATCCATTCATCTACCCACCATCCACTCATCCATCCATCCATCCATCCATCCATCCATCCATCCATTATCCACTCATCCATCTACCACCCATCCATCCACCCATCCATCCATTTATCATCCATCTATTTGTCCATCATCCACCCATGATCCATCCATCTACACACCATCCACTCATCATCCATCATCCATCCACCATCCAGCCATAATCCATCCATCCACCATCCATCCATCTATCCATCCACTATCCATCCATCCATCATCCATCCACCCACCCATGCATCCATCCACTCATCCACGCATACAACTTATGTATCCTGGAGGAGATAGTTACAGTGATGTCTCTGCCTCCTGTCCCCTCTTCTCTTTCTCATTCACATACACACCTGCCTTTGCCAAGAGAAAATAGTAATTCTCAAAGACTGTGGAGTGAAACCCAGGGGGGCCTCTGACAGCCCTAGGTCTGCAAGTGTTTAGCAGGCAGCTCTGGGGTTTGCAACACCCAACACGCAGACACACAGTCTTTCCCTAAGATTATATACTGATTTGGGGGTGGCTTTCAGAGGACATCACTGATCCCAACACTTACGAGAGAAAAAAGTCCCCTGTGTGTATCATGTGTCCTGTCAGTCCGTCTGTGTGTCTTTGGCACTGGTACCTCTTACACACAGCAGCGAAAATTCCTTTCCTTAACAGCCCCCACCCTCTCATCTGCCCCTTGTCCCTTGGGAACAGGATATGGACCCTTGTTGGATCCCGTCACCCTCACTAAAACCCTGCTGGGACAACCACGTTAAAAAAAGATTTTGGGGTTGGTGGGGCACCTGGGTGGCTCAGTTGGTTGGGTGTCTGCTTCTTGATTTTCGCTCAGGTCATGATCTCACAGTTCGTGGGATCTGGCCCCACATCAGGTTCTGTGCTGGGCGTGGAGACTGCTTGGGATTATCTCTCCCTCTCTTCTCTCTTCTCCTCCTTCCCCCCAAATAAAGAAACATTTAAAAAACAGATTTTTGGCAAGAGTGGATGAGGTTCTCGGGTGGACCACTCTCCTCCCCAGTATGTGGGGGGGGGGGGGAGGGCTTCAATCTTCCGATGAGACCCGGACTTCAGAGGTGGGCAGCCTCTTTCCAACTCTGCACTTTATAGACGAGGTCCCGGGCACTTGTCAGGGTACGAGATAATGGGAGCTGGCAGCATCTGCATCGGCAGGTGGCCTGGGAGCGGGTGGTACGCTGTCCTCACATGGCCTAGACACCGAGGACACTCGGTCCCTGTCCCAGGGCCTCAGGCAGATGCTGAGCTGTGACTCTGGAGCAGCTCAGCACAGCCACTCCCTGCTTAGCCTGCTGGCCTCAGGGGCTCAGCCTTGGCACCTGGCCCCGGTTCCGGGGATTGCATGCAGTTGCAACCTGCTCTGGGTGTGGGGCCAGGCCCCCTGGGCAGGAGGTGGGTCCTGAGCAGGGCCTGGCAGAGAGCTCAGTCTCTACCTACAAGAGCTTAGGGTACCAGAGGTGTGTCATCTCTACCTGGGACTATTACGTAAGGATGGACAAGGGCTGCTACCTGGGGACCAGAAGACACCGGGGCGCAACACAGGGAGACCCAGGAACCCCCCAGGGCCGAGCGCAGGGCAGAGGCCCAGCTCCCGACTGTGACACCAGGCACGCAGAGCCAGGAGGAAGGCCACTGGCTGCAGCTGGGCGCCACTCGGCATGTCAGCCAAGTTCTCCGAGCTCCCGCTGCCTCCCCGCCTTCCTGCAGGAAGAACAAGTCAAAGACTGTGTCCCCTGCTGTGGCCCCATGCCCACCCAGCCCCCAAACGCTCCTCCCTGAGGATCAAGCCCAGCTTCTCACAAATCCTGCTCTGTGACCCACCTGCTGCCCACCTTTAGCGTCCCCACGGCCTGGGTCTCCGTGCAGCCCCCCGGCCCTTCCTTACTTCTGGGCCTTTGCACCTTTTGTCCTCACTGGCTTCCAAGGGACGGGATCACAGTCGTCACCTCCCCCTCTGAGAGCCTAGTGACCTCTCCAGCACCCCACGCTCCCCCACAGGCCTGGTAAGGAGCTGTGGGCCCACGTGTGTCCTGCTACAGGTCTGCGGTGCCCCAGGGCCCACGCGATCCTGGTACGCGCTGGGCGCTGAGCGCCCACTGACTGGATGACTGTGGGGAAGCCGTGGGCGCTGGGGGGAGGCAGAGAGAATTCGGGGCAGACCACGCTGCCAGCCCAGAATTAAATCTGAAAAGCCGTTTGTGCGTCAGGGTCCTCCTCTGGGAAACTGACATCCTCCTATGGAAATGTCTCTTGGCCGCACCTCGACTTCGGAATGTCGACGTCTTGGAGGGGACCGCGGGTGGTCACGCGGCACCCAGTGTGGGTTCCGCTGGGACTGTACTTGCTCTCGCGGGGAGGCTGGTCCGACAGGAGTTAAGAGAGGGACTTTCCACTCTCCTTGAGGAAGAAACCCCAAACTTCCAAGGCCGGGTGGGGTGGCCCAACCCGGAGCCTGTTTTGTCCCTGAGATGGCCACTTCACACGGACTTCATGCCTACCCCCTCCTGCGCCCCTGGAGCCCAGCAGGTCTGGCCATGAAGGGAAGCTGACTGGCGCCTCAGGGGGTCCCCAAGGGACTCCTGACATCCATGTTTCAAGGCGGGGCCCCCTCAGCCCACCTTGTCCTCCAGGGTGTGGGCAGAGCCTCGGAGAGC